GAAATGACAATATTTATTTCAAACATATTGTGTTAATTTTATAAATTACCAAGTTCTATGATGGTCAAAATTAAGTTTATAAAAGTATAAGGGTCAAAATAAAGTTATTTAAAACTAAATAAGATATTTCCATATTTCAGAATATCCATTTTCTTCAACCTTACAGNCATGAATTTCATGTCAGTTGGGTGTCGTTTGTGTAAGTCCATAAATACCCACCCCAAGAAAGACCCGAAAATTTTTAAATAGTCATTGGGTGTGTAGCACCAATGACGGGGCTTGGAAAATCGGTTTTTATACCCATGACATTGCATGGGAGAAGAGGAGCCAGGGATGGCTCGGGTTGAGTTGAATGAGTGAGTCTCATCTCATTTCATGGCATGACATTACTAAGATTCTAATATTGAATAATATATTATTGTTTGGGATGTCGTTGTTTGAAAAGTGTTGCATGATCATTTCATATATACTTAGGTTGGAGAATAACCTTGGTAGGAAATACTCTACTGGGCGTGACTCACCCTATACGAAAAAATATTTTAAGTGTGGGATATACATCGGTGGAAGGCCCTCACACGGGACCCCAAGGGTGAAGCAAGCCGGAATGTAGCTTTATTTTGAGTTTTGTAAAACAATTGTGAAATTTCTATTTTGGTATGTAAATACATTGAATTGAATGTAATATAACTTGTATGGACATTGTATTCCATGAAAAACTTAATTATACATGTGTTAGATGGAAATAATATGCTTTAGAATGAGTTGGAAATGAAAAGCAAGTGAAATAGGCAAAAGTTGGCAAAGCGTACCGGTACGACGAGGTCCAGTGTGGTTACCCGTACCGGTATGGCTTTTCCAGTGGGCAACTTCTACCGGTATGATATACTGGTACGACGAGGTCCAGTGGGCAACTCGTACCGGTATGGCGTACCAGTACACTTTCCAAAATTTTGAAACTTTTAAAATTGTGTTTGGCATGCTTTTGGATTTTGGGTTCTTTGGTTCCAATGATACAAATTGACATAAAATGAGTTAAATGGCGGAATGTTGGACCTTGGTTGGGTCAAATGGTAGAAGGTACACGGGATACATGTGTGGGTGATAATCCCGGTTAAGGGGATGCTATTGATGTGATATTAGATTGTGGGACAATCACGGGTATTTTCGTGAATTGATTGGTGGTCAATGGTTGAAAAAGGACCCCCGATTTTAGGGGTGTCACAAATTCAAACATGCCAACAAGTGAGTAGGTATAATATTAAGGAGAGATTTAATTAATACCAATCTACTTGCATTAGATAAACACTTAGAGTACCACCTTTCTAATTTGGCTCTAAACTTTTGAACCAAATCATAGAAGAAAATATTTTTAGACCTTCCTCGAATCAAATGATAGCCTAGATATTGAATGGGACTAGATTTCCATAGAGTTGAAGTCACAGAGGAGAGCTGATTTTTCCTGGCTTGGGGGTTTTGTGTGGCAGATACATTGAGCTCTTCTACCTATTTATTCTTTGTCCAAAAGACTTTTCATAAAAGGAGATAGCTTCTAAAATATTCAGAACTAATTTCTTATCCCCTCTTAGAAACAATAAAGTGTCATCAGCGAAAAAAAGATGAGAAACTAAATGAAAGTTTTTCACCAAACCCTTCTTATAAACTTCAACAATGCCTTTACTAAGAACTTCTTCAGCAATGATAAACAAACTATGAGAAATGGGATCTCTTTGTCGAAGGCCATGAGAAGTAGGAACAAACCAATTCTTTCACTATTAAAAGAGACGGTAAACAATCTAATTTCCTTCTCTAATCCAAAGCATCAACCTTATCTGCCTTACCTTCATACAACACCTCCTGCCCGTTGTCCTTTCATTGAGTGACCTTTGTTTTCTCCGGTCCTTTAGATTGTGGCCTATTGGAAAGATCTCCATCTTTCAAATTTTCTCTTGTTTTCATCCTTTTGCATTCCTCCTCTCCGTATCCTTACTTTCAATATCTCTTATTCTTCTCATAAATTATTTTTTGCCATCACCAACATCATTACTAAATTCATATAAAACAATAATTAAACTGTACGATTCACTACTCTAAATATAAGCAATATTGTTCCCAAAACAATTAAAAATTTGTCTCAAAATTATAAAAGACATTTATTCCTAAAGACATACAATAAAATAAATTTTCAAGTTCTCTAATTCCTTGTTTGTCTGTGGACTTACTCCTCACTCTGATCCTCACCTGAAAAATGTTAAATTTTTGGATGAGCACAATGACCCATGAATAGCAACCACCTCTAATGAGGTGTGAAAATAAATCTCACAATTTATATACGAAAATAAATTTTGATACACACATTAGTACAACAAATTGTACCACAACTCATTCGACATAATCATTTAAACAAAATGATCTCATGATCACAAATAACTTTATAAATGAAAAGACATTTATAACCCAAAACACCACTCATTTTCACAAATAAATTTATAAATGAAAAGAATTTTATAACCCAAAACATCCACACACATATTCAGTTCCAAATACATTTTATCAAATCATGTTTGTTACCATTAGCTTGATAACTGACTCAGTCTCTTGTCATCATTAGCATGATGACTACCCCAACCTCTTGTTATCACTAGTCTGGTAACTGACTCAATCTCTTGTCATTACTAGCTTGATGACTGACCCAATCTCTTATTATCACTTATACTTGGTAACCTAGTCCTCATCTTATAAACATGATTTCTACACACTCCAAAACTATAATTATAGTCCCAACGCACACAAAATTTTCCTTTCATCACCAAAGCGATATAAAATCATCCCATAAATTTTTCAAAATTAACATGTATAACAATTCACAATTTCAAAATATTTTGTAACCTCAAACATCAACATATATATCATATATATGAAAAATTCACACGAACGCACACACACATTTAATATAGAAAATTCTTCCAAAAGATGTAGTAAACTACTTACCTTGATTCCCAAAATTCAATTCAATGCCCTCTATCTCAATTTCAATGCAATCACTACCTAATCCAAAATAACATATAGTGATCAATCTCTATTCTTAACTTCGTCATTTCGCGATTCTATATTTAATACTTCCTACTCATTGATATATAGTTTATATATCATTTACATAGAAATAATATTTTTAATGTAAGATAATAGAGTATGAAAGTAATCTTGGTAGTTTATAAAAAGTTCTTAAAGTTTTGGAGTCAAATCATAATATTTGAAACTTTTGGAATCAAAGTGTAATTTTCTTGAAAAAAACAAATTTTCTATTTTCAAGGTTGTCATAATTTTTTTCAGAATAGTATTTTAAGTTCTAGAGATTCATTTTAATTCATTTTTCAAGTAATTTAATTTCTTGATTTAATTTATAAGATTACCAGTAATTTTTAAACACTTAATCAAAATTTTTAAGGGTCGTTTCAAAATTTTAAAAAAATTTCAAGACTCGGGAGGGGCTGTTTTGAAATGACAATATTTATTTCAAACATATTGTGTTAATTTTATAAATTACCAAGTTCTATGATGGTCAAAATTAAGTTTATAAAAGTATAAGGGTCAAAATAAAGTTATTTAAAACTAAATAAGATATTTCCATATTTCAGAATATCCATTTTCTTCAACCTTACAGAATTCCAAAAACTTTGGTGTGTACCTTTTTCTTTCTTCCACTTTTTTCCAATATCTTCTTAACACAAATACCCACCACATTATGTTTTAATTTACATATTTGAACCCTATAAACCTAACCAATATGAATTACTTGCAAGATATATCAGACTACAAACTTGTATATGTGTACATATAATGAAATTTAATTTCAATATGAAGACTAACCTTGATGATCAAATCTTCTAGTTTGTTTCCTTCTTCTTTAAATCTCCTTCTTTCTTTCTCTTCCTTTTTCTTTACTCAAAACCCTAGCTTCTCCTCTTATTTCTCTTATTCTAACGTGTATGTAGGTGAGATTATGCAAAGAGAATATAGATATTTATATATTAGTAGACATCTAGGATAACGAGGAAACTTATTCTAATCAAACTTTTATCTTTTTTTTTTCATTGGATAGATATCTTCACAAACTTTCTCACTAAAAGACCATATCAAACCTAAATATATCTACATATATATATATATATATGAAGGATTTGATCTATCTATCAACACTAACATATTTAAAACACATATAAAACAGTCATAATAGATCTCTCTAAGACAAGACTTTTATTAAAGACACATTAGTTTTCTTTTAATTATTTTTATCCTTATTTATATATAACTATTTCTAGGTAGTCAATGCACCAAAATAAAAAAATAAATTTTTTTTTTTTTGAGTAATTACAAGAGCTACTTCAAAAACTTGGAATCTTGTCCTACAAGCCCCATCGTATATTACCATATATACTCATCATTGCCAGTCTATGTATAGTAATTGTTTGAATCGATTAATTCAATTCATCTGACAAATTAAATTCAAATAATGTTATTCACGGACCTATGCAAAATAATTCACTTGCTTCATATTTCCTCTAACAAAATTGGTAACCATGCAGGAGCACTACAACCTGGACCACCAACATGTTTCTTACTATGTTGGACAAACTGCACCTGGTGGGGTCGACGTCAATTTAAGCAACGTGCAGCGCATGGCCTCAAATCATTTGTGTTAGGCACTTTGGCCAACTCTTTTTAGATCCGGCCAAAAGTAGATGATGAGATTAAGATATTCTAATCTAATCTGACCCAAGAAATTATTAATATTCAAACACAAAATATCCAAATTTACAACTCATACTTATCGTCTTTTGAATTACTCTTTAAGATTATACAGGACAGTTTGATGTCATGCCGAAACATCAATTCATCACAAACACAATATTTATTATTATTATTATTATTTTTTCCTAAACCCGGTATTCTATAAATAAGGTACCAGGTACCTACTTCGTATCATCAATCTTTACGAAAGATAATTTCTCTCTTAACTCTCGCGTTCCAAGTGCTATCAATTTTCGGCAACCTTCTAATTCCATCAATGGCTTCCACCGATAAATGGAGCATCGCCCAAGACCTCACAGTGATTTCTCTAAGCCTTCAAAACAAATTGATGACAGTCTCACATAAAATACATTTATTCTTTGAATATTACTGCAATGTCTGATCTTAAATTGTTTGTTTTCATGGCTGACACGGTGAAACACTTCTTCTTGCTGCAGGATGATATTTACATAAAACGTGCACAAAGACTGAAGGAAGTCAGGCATTTACTGAGCAAAGCCGGAGAAGATTCACCAGAAGGATTAACTTTCGTCGACGCTGTCCAGCGGCTAGGCGTGGATTACCATTTCCAAGAGGAGATTAAAGCCATTCTGCAACGGCAGTATATGGCAATGAACACTACTGCTCATGAACAAGAGAATCGAGATCTATACGTAGTTTCACTTTCTTTTAGACTGCTGAGACAAGAAGGTTACTATGTGCCTGCAGGTGGGCATATTCTAATTGAACTGCTTCTTATTTGGTCCATGTTATATTAGCGTCAATCATTGGTTCTTGACAGAACTCTGTCATGTTCTTATTAAGAAAATAAATTGTAAACTTAAATGTCTTAAGTTTGAATTTTAAAAAAAAAAAAGAATAAAATTAATCGATGTGCACATAAATTAGCTCAGACACCCTCGACAGATTAACCAAAAAAAGTCTTGGATAGCCTACACTATGTCACCTTTTTTCTTCTCAATCATATCCACAGCACAAGTTCCTTTAAACTACAAATTTATACCAATCACATTCTAGGAAAACAAAATAAAAAAACTAATTATATGACAACCGTACAAAATTAGACCGGGTTATGAAAAAAAAAACATTGAATTATCCATACTCCACAGTCGTCTGTCACTGTCACGTTCATTATTCATGTTTTTCAAGTTCATGCCATGTTTGATTTGGATTGTATCACCAGTCGTGTCAAAAACTTGCAATCATTTAGTTATTTACATCATTCAAGCTTACTCTATGCTTGCAATTGTTAACAATTTTCATCACCCCCAACAGATGTGTTTAACAGCTTTAAGGACAAGGAGGGGAAGTTCATGGACGAACTAAGTAAAGACATGAGGGGATTGATTAGTTTATATGAAGCTTCGCAGCTTGGTATAGACGAAGAAGATATACTTGATGAAGCTGCGAATTTTAGTGGCCAGCTACTTAATGCATGGGAGACTCATCTTGATCATCGTCAAGCCAGAGCTGTCTCAAATACAGTAAAACATCCCTACCACAAGAGCTTGGGAGGGTTCCTGGCGAAGAACTTTATCAGAGATTTTGAAGTTTCCTATGGATGGGAAAAAGTCTTGCAAGAACTAGCAAAAATGGATTTCAACATGGTTCAGTCCATACGCCAAAAGGAAGCACGTCGAGTTTCCAAGTATGTTGCTTAATGATTATACAGTTTTGTTATTACATAAGGTGATGTTACGACTCAATACAGTGAGGTTACAATAAAATAGGGTTGTTTGAGGTGATCGTACGTAGTACAACGTTAGAATAGTTCTAACATTTACGATTGATCATAACCTTTTGGGATAAATTCCAACTGTTTTAGTAAAAATTTAACCTTTGGTGTCGTTGCTCGATGCATTCTAAATCACTTTACCGGATTGAGTTGTAACTTTACTCTTATTATAGTTATTTTCTTTGTGATACCAAATTCGATATTGTAAGTTGTTCCCTAGTTTTCTCTAATGAAATTCATTGTCATCTTAGATGGTGGAGAGACCTAGACTTGGCTACAGAGTTGAAGTTTGCAAGGAACCAACCTCTTAAATGGTACGCATGGCCGATGGCCATCCTTACAAATCCAAGCTTGTCAGAGCAAAGGATCGAGCTCACGAAGCCCATCTCTCTTGTGTACCTATTAGACGACATTTTCGATGTTTATGGGACGCTTGATGAGCTCACTCTCTTCACAGAAGCTATCAACAAGTATGTATCAATAAAAGTGTTTCTCTATAGTCTATGTATATATCATCCTTATTTATCACAATATATAATGATAAGACATGAATTATTGTTTGCAGATGGGACTTTGTTGCTGTTGAGCAACTCCCAGACTACATGAAGAAGTGTTTCAAGGCTGTTTATGACATTACTGAAGACATCAGTAACAATGCCTACAAAGACCATGGATGGAACCCTATTGACACCTTAAGAGAAACAGTATGATTATTTCTTTTCGGGTAGCCTCGTGAGTAAAAGAGAAATGATTGTTTAAGTTCTTATCTTATCTAAAAAAAGTTGGGACGTGAATACATACATACATACAAACGTTCCTTCCCTTATGAGCCCAATCGTTGGCCAAACATATCCAAGACTTGTAATAATTATCATTGTCATGAAGCGAGATTTGAACATGAACATCCTTGTCAAATCACAATCTCAATGTAAATCTTACACTGTGAGAGGATGTAACGTCCATATTGATATACTTCGACATATTCTGATGAATTATTGATTTTTTTTTTTGCAGTGGGCAAGTTTGTGCAATGCGTTTCTAGTAGAAGCCAAATGGTTTGCTTCTGGGCATGTACCAGAACCAGATGAGTATTTGAAGAATGGGATTATTAGTTCAGGGGTACCCATGGTGTTGGTACACTTATATTTTATATTGGGGCATGGTAGAGACAAAGAGAGTGCCAATATTGTGAAGAATAATCCAGGCCTTTTATTTTCTGTGGCCACAATCCTTCGTCTTTGGGATGACTTGGGAAGTGCCAAGGTGACTCACAAAATCACTACCGATAAAAGTATTGGGGATATGAAAAAGGCTATTAACCCCCGGCTAATTTAAGTAGTAATAAAAACGAATTGTAAAATTAGACGTGTGGAGTTCAAATCTTGACAATCTCTTAAAATTAAGGTATGAGAAATTTATCTTTTATGAATACCCTAGTCCTAGCGTAAATGATTTGTCTTTTACTAGACCAAGAAAAAAAATATTCGAAGTGCGCAAAAATTGGCCTAAACTTCCTCGCCGTTGAACCAAAAAAAAAAAAACCAATTAGTCGGTCTTCGCTACTCTATCCAATAGTCGTCATTTCCTTCCATTATCGTGTTTTGCAATAAGCATGCACCATCTTAGTTTAACAATCTCTGATAAGTGCCTTGGTTTTATTGACAGGATGAGAATCAAGAAGGCCGTGATGGATCTTATGTGGAGTGTTACATGAAAAAACACAAAGTCTCTTCAGTTGAAAGTGCACGAGAACATGTTATGAACACAATTTCAGAAACATGGAAGAACCTCAACAAGCACTGTCTCTCCCCAAATCCATTTTCAGCAACTTTTACCAAGGCTTGTCTGAATGTTGCAAGAATGGTGCCCTTAATGTACAGTTACAACGACGATCATCGCCTTCCAGTCCTCGAAGAGCTTATCAAATCAATGCTCTTTGACACTTTACATGATTAGAGTCTTCATAATGATCGTTCGAAGTTTCTAAATAGATCTGTGTAATTTTCAGTGCAGAGAAAATATTAAATATCTAATACATTATCTAATATATATATAATATACGCATATTCTCTGT